CCTTAACTGGTTAAATTTTAAATTTTAAGATGGTTCTAGAGGTTGGGAGAAATATCTGGTCATGTGGGTCCCTAGGTCCGAAGTTGTAGTGAAGTATATTCCAACTGTGGGTTCAGGTTGAGTCTAACTTCGAATCTCAAAGATGGAGGGGTTAACAGTGTCAGAATTGACTGACCTTAGTATCGTTGGACTTAGAATTTTGAAATCTATGATTGTTACAAGCTAGAAACTTTTCAAGTGACCCCCCATGCATATTTGGGGTGGCAAATATCCAAAGAAATAGTTGTCAGATAAATCTAATGCTACCAACCTTGTCAAATTTCCTATCTCTTGAGGAATATGACCTGAAAGTTGATTTTCAAAAAGGGAGAGAAAGGTTAGGTTGCTTAGATTACCTAAAGGTGCGGGGATGGAACCATTGAAGTTATTAGTATACAATGATAAATCAGTGAGATGCTTCAAATTTCCTATCTCTTGAAGGATGGGACCTGAAAGTTGATTTTTGAAAAGGTAGAGAGTGATGAGATTGCTTAGATTACCTAAAGATGCGGGGATACAACCATTGAGGTTATTATTAGACAATTGTAAATTAATGAGATGTTTCAAATTTCCTATCTCTTGGGGAATGAGACCTGAAAGTTGATTTTTGAAAAGGAAGAGAGTGTTTAGATTGCTCAGATTACCTAAAGAGGCAGGGATAGAACCACTAAGGTTATTTAAATACAATTGTAAATCAATGAGGTGCTTCAAATTTCCTATTTCTTGAGGGATGGGACCTGAAAGTTGATTTTGGAAAAGGTAGAGAGTGGTGAGATTGCTTAGATTACTTAAAGATGCGGGGATGGAGCCACTGAGGTTATTAGTAGACAATTGTAAATCAATGAGATATTTCAAATTTCCTATATCTTGGGGAATGGGACCTGAAAGTTGATTTTTACTAAGGTAGAGAGTGGTTAAATTGCTCAGATTACCTAAAGAGGCGGGGATAGAACCACTAAGGTTATTGAAAGACAACCGTAAATCAACGAGGTGCTTCAAATTTCCTATCTCTTGTGGAATGGGACCTGAAAATTGATTTACACAAAGGTAGAGAAAGGTTAAATTGCTGAGATTACCTAAAGATGTGGGGATGGAGCCACTAAGATTATTGGAGTTTAAGTATAAATCAGTAAGGTACCTTAATTTTCCTATTTCTGATGGAACATTTCCGAAAAACTGATTGAAAGACAAATCAAGGTACTTGAGTTTGGAGAGAGTGCCAATGTGGGAGGGAATGATACCAGAAAGTGTATTGTTGAAAAGATCAAAATAGACAAGGTGGGGAAAGGATGAGAAGTTGAAGTCATGAAGCATACCTTGCAAACCCATACTCGATAGTGTTATCTGCTTAACTCTTTCAGCAGCTGGACTATTGCAAGTAATACCAACCCAATTGCATATGTCGTAGTGAGAAGAAGAGTTGGTGGAATGACCAACTAGTGGTCTCCAGGAAGAGAGAAGAGTTTTGGTTTGACTAGGAAGACTGGATTTCCATCGAAGAAGAGCTATGGCTTCTTCTGGCATGACAGAAGAGTTAAATTTTGGAAAGATTGCAAGCAACAAAATCGAAATGAGAGTGAGGGACACGGATATTAGCTGAGATGGTAAGGATGAAAAGGACGACGATTGAGCCATATTAAGTTAATTGTTTGTGGAGATAGCTAGTTGCAACCTAACTATGGAACAATTAATGCAAAGGTGCGTGGGTTTAGGCGCGCTGTAGGAGAAATTAAATGGATGATCGATAGATGCATGGGGGGTTAATGACTTATAAATGTATATATATAGTGGGAGCAAATTAAACTGTTGATAAGAAAGACATGGTGTTGAGCTATTGGCAAATCACTATCAATTAATTAGATAATATGGTTTTAGCACAGGTCAACCATTAATTACACCTCAACCAAGTAAATAATTATTAACATTGGATGACTTTTAAGTCAACCTAACGCCGTTTTAAGGCATCCAATTCATATATATTTCGAATGCAAATGTCCTCCATTGAAAAGTCAGAGTTGGAGAAAAAGTCGAGAGTGACCAAACTAAATATTGTGTGACTTGTTGGAAAAATCAGGCTTTAATGTTTTGGTGCTAGGGATAAAAACTGTTCTAAGTCTTCAATTATGGGGTATACGTTGCAATTTGTGGGCCCCGGTCACTGTATAATTCTTAGCATCTTCACTACGTTATGCTGTATAATATTCGATCCAGATGTGCTAAAACAGTCAGTATAAAGCTACGTAACAACAGCCCCAATATGATCAGCTTTATATGTGCTTCATAGAGTTTTTAATATTCCCCTTTTTTTGTGAACATAGAGCTCCATTCTCATCACTCGGTCCCATTGTATTCAAATGTTACATTAATGGGAAAGACTAGTAAGAGACAAATCCATTTCTCACGTTAGGAAGAAAATGACAAATATATCCAAATCCACGAATTTAATTTCCACGTTCCAATGCCTTCAAAAGGCTAGGCAAGCCGTGTATTATGTGGTAATCCATGCATGATATTGATAAACGAATTAATACAAGTATGTTTTGAAAATAATGTTATTATGGGATGATCCATGATATCATATTTGATTTGTAATATTAATTTATATTTGTCCCCATGGTAGAAGAAAATTTATTTGATGTCATATTTGTAATATTAATTTGAAATATTTTAAAGGGTAAATTACAGATAATATACAAGTCTTTCATTGTGAACAAAAAATCACAGATCAAGAGAAAGTATTTGATAGTTTTGTTTATTGTAAAATGACGTGTGGAAAAATCAAGTTTTCATGGTGCCAATTAAGACTTTGGAAAAAGACAGGATCTAAGTGTTCAATTGTGGGTCTCACCTGTAAATAAGTATTCTTTTATTAGGGAAAATACAACCACATGTTAGGTGTAACCATGTCTTAGGTTATGAAGAGTCATACATATAGATCCTTAATCCTTGAAACACCCAACCACGTCTTCATCATCCTATTTCCATTCATGGTGAAAGTTCAACAACACCGGGAAAAATTATAACTGTTCTTTTTTATTTTTCTCTTAAATTTTTTATAAGATACAAAAGAAAAACAATCGAGTATAAAAATATAATGGAAAAGTATGGACAGGCACAATGCAGCAGATTTCTGAATTTTACTGTAAATCTATAAATATTCAAAATGTTTAAAACCTCATCTTATACACCAATGTCCGCTCGTGAATTAACATCAATTCCAACCTACCCCAACTGTACTTTGGGCCTAAAAAATTCTGACCTGTGTTGAACTGTCATTCTCCCAAAATATAATAAGTAGAAGCATATTAGAAGGCATAAGTACTTCCTCCGTAGGCGCTAATGCATAATTCTTAGGTTTTCAGCCCCTGCCCAATTTCTGCTTCCAAGGGGAGTGCTGAATGGAGCCTTCTTTATAGCGTGTTGGGACTTGGGAGCGGGCCCTCGACCCAAGCCCAATCTTTAGTATCAGCCCATTCRATATGGGAAACTTAAAAGAGAATTGTGCCCCTAAGGCCCATTGAACATTGCTGTATAATTTAAAGGGTAAATTGTTGAAACTTCCCTTGAAGCTTTCTGCTTGTTGCTGAAACTTCTTCTAAAGTTTGGTAATTGCAATCACGTCTACTAAAGTTTAGAATCTTCCAAAAAGAGGCATGAAAATGTCCAAGGTACCTATTTAATTACTTTTGGCCAAAATGTTTATTTTCCAAATTTTTGCTTCATATGAATTGCTACCCCGAATTCTTTCAATATCTTTTTCGAAATTGATTTATTTATCAAAGTTTCCCTTCTTGTTAAATGTTTAAAGGGGATGCTACAACTTCAAAATTTCTTTATTTTTYTTGTTGTTCATAAAGTTTGTATTGTTTTTTCTACAGAAACCAGCAAGATTTTAGGTCAGAGGTTTAATCATCTAGGTCAAATAGTTTCAGCGGTGATAGATTTAACCCTTAGATAGGAATGTTAGGGTAGAGATACATACATACATACATATATTTAATGGGCATGGGTTAATAAAGTTAATTAAGTAAATTAAGAAATTAAATAAATAAAGGAATTGAAGTTAATTGTTTAATTTAACAAATAAAGCCAATCAATCTAAATGAGTAAATTAAGTCAATTAAGAACCTAAAATGGAATCACTTTTGTCATCGTTTTCTAGGTCAATGGAATGACTGTTTGGTCCGAATGGATCAACCCATGACATTTTGAAAAATAAAAAATAAAATAAAATAAAAATAAAAAAATGACTCAAAAATCATTTAGTCATTTACCAAATTAAACAATTTAGTGTTTAAACCATTTGTGTCAATAGTTTGTTAGCCAAGTTAAGGATTCATGGACAGTCAAATTGTTCAACCTAGGAATTTGTAAATTGTCTAGTTCCATTTTATACCCAGGCAATCAAACCATTTAACATAGGAATCAGTCAATTTCCTAGTTCCATATTATATATTTTTAAAAAAAAAAAAAAGAGGAAAACAATGACTTGGTTAAGAAGTTGTTATCTTGGATGGTTGAATTGCTAAATTGTTTGATCTAGTAAATGGTTTTCGAGTATTTTTCTTATTTTAATTATATTTTAAAATGTCATGAGCTAATCTATTCGAATCAAACAATTGAACTGTTGACCTAGAAACCGATGGTCAAAATAGTTCCATTTTGGGACACTTTTTAAATTACCTTCCTTAATTACAACAAAAATAAAAACATTACAACAAAATAACACTAAATAAAACACACAACAAACTTGTCTCTATGAAAGAACAACCAAACTCAAAAAATCTTCACGAAGAAGATTTGTTAAATTCCTAGGAATGTGGCCCTCTAAATCAAAGAAAAAATTGGGCTTCATCCACTTCCGTCCTCAGCAATCAAAGAAAAAAAATTAGTCCACTGCTGGCTATATGCCATCTCATCATGCACCAGTAATGTCATTAGCAACCAAAACTGTATGTGTCTCACAATTCATCAACAGTTGGTCCAATTAATGTAATTTCTTGAAACCGATCTGGAGATGATGCCTTGCAGGTCATAAGCTCATGAGATATACATTGCATGGTAGGTCGAGATTGTGGGTTAACATTTAAGCATGCCAATGCTAGCTTAACAACATGGAGCACTTCCTCTGCAACTTGAGGCAGCATGGGAAATGAGAGCCGTTGATCCAAGATATCTTTCAATAAAATAGGTTTTGAAGAAGAAGATGATGGTGATAATTCCAATATGTAAGCAATAAGTTCTGTTGGATGCCTTCCCATTATCACCTCTAGTGTTAGTACCCCAAAGCTATACACATCACATTTTTCAGTCGCCTTTCTTGTATAAGCAAGCTCTAGATGGAATACAATAGCCAAATCCTTGAAACACCCATGGTCATGACATATGCAGCCTTAATCCTTGAAACACCCATGGTCCTGAGTTATTTCATTACACTTATAATCACAGAATGCTTTGAGACTTTGCTCTAATGTTGACACCTAGGATGAGATAGGTAAGATCCAGATATGGGGCGCTATCAAGATCCAAATCCACCTTGCAAAGATATTAATCCGCCAATGTATTCCTCAGTGTTTGCACAGATAGAATACAAATAGGTGGCGCTATCAAGATCCATTACACTTCTATGTTTTCTTAAGACTAAAATGATATCTAAATTCCCTCGACTTCTTACTTTCCACCTCTTTTTCCTAATTTTTGTGTAAAAATTAATTAGGTGGCGACTCCTCAACACACCTAAACTTCCTTTATTGTAGCTCCGTGCCCATAGGCCAGCCTCCACATAGATACTTGTTGCGCGATTCGACTACTCCTATCTGGATGGCAATTTGGCTTCCAATTGAATAATGAGCTGGATCAATCTGCAAGGCGATGAATCAGAGAACCCGGAGTGGTTAATTTGGCGAGGTTGATCCGATGCTTAAGTTAGAATATTCGAACTGAATGCCTTGAGAATTTGAGAGCTTGAGAGCTAGAGAGTAGAGTAATCACGTGTACATGGGCCCTGGAGGGGTTATTGCTCTTATATAGCTTGAGAGCTGCTTGGGTTTCGCGAAACAGCTTCGAGATCTTTGGCCTAAGTGGATGAGATCCGTTTCCGCTTTAGTCAGAGAGTAATGTATTAATCAATGAAGTCTATCGTTTTCACCCAATCCAGGCTGGGAGAGGATAAGGCCTGCCATTACATGACATGATCCCGTGAGGTTCAGAGTCTGCTAGAGAAATTTCTGGAGTCGTTACGTGGCGATTCGAGTTGTTAGCCCTGAGCTGATACTCCTGTTCTTTACTTCCAAACTAGATTGAATGTCAGGGTGCCCCGACGCCGAGGTGAGTTTTTGGCCAAGGTGGTTGAATACTCGAGCTCGAACGTTGCAAACTAGGCTTGTCAAGCTGAGCTTTCATCCCTTAGTCAGGTCATGTCTACGTGTCCCCTTTTCGCTACGTCGGGTCAAATCACCCTTCAATTGCCCCCCCACTCCTCGAGCCAAGGGTCTCAACCTGGTGCGAGGAGTTCATGATGAGTCTAGGTGGATTTGACATGAAGTCTGTGCGGCTTGATGGGTGAATCATTGGTCAGATTTGTTCAGCCACCCAGCTCAACCAGGAATAACCCAAGTCGCATCTAATTTACATGTGGACGTCACACCATTTTATAAACTCCACGGACGTCAAAACATGCGCTAAATCAATTTCAACCTTGGGGATTATACAACCAGTTTTCCTAGGAGCCATTGGATCATGTTGATTCCAACCTTTGATCCCTAGGTATATTGGCTATAAATAGTGGCCAAGGAGCTCATTTTCTTCACCACAAGTCCACTAATCCACAATCTGAGGTCACGCACAAGTCCTTCAGTTCGGTGTCTTTTCAAGGTCATCTTCCTTTCTTCGGTCTTTCTTTTGGTGAGTCCCCCTTTGCTCTCTCTTTTTCAATTCCGTGTCTTTCTATGATGTCTAATTTCAGTTTCGATAGCCTCTTAAATGGGAGTGGTGAATCCGTTGGAGCCGAGGTGGGTACCTCAGCTCAGGTCTTAAATCCTCGTCCTACCAAGGAGGTTACTTTGGGTCAAGATGCGGTCCACGGTCCTCTCGAGGTGGACTCACCTCAGTGGGAGCAAGAGGCCTCTAGTAACTTGGCTCCCACCTCACATCGAGGTCAGCTGCTAGATAACTTTGGCCCATCGACAATGACGGCAGATAGGCTCCTAACCCTATTAACTCGGTACAAACTTTCCAACGACTTCGTCTACAACATCCCTTTAAGTAACTTCCCTTGGGAACACAGTCACAATGAGATCATGATCTTTGAGGAACAACTCACAACTAGTCTTCGCCTTCCACTTCACCCTCTTATAACATCACCATAAACCAGTTACACCCGAACTCCATCCGCAATGTTGTAGGGACCATTTCTCTTTTCCATGACTACAATCTTCCTCTTGACCTCAATATCTTTTCTTCTATTATTTCCATCAATAAGAATTCATCTTGTGTTCTGGCCAAGCATAGGCGAATTTATTACCTGTCACCTCATCATGGCTTCAAACTCTTGCACGAGCTCCCGAACAAGGTCTTGAACTGGAAGAGGCGCTTTTTTGTGGTCTGCAACACTAAGGGGTGGCCTTTCCTGACTCACTGGAGGGCAGCCATCCAGGACCCGGTGTTAGTTTGGACCTGAAGACAAGAGAGGCACTCTGATCTTAGGTAGAGCTAGGCTTGAAGTTCGAAGACTTTGTGACTAAGGAGAAGCTCGTGCAGGCCGGTTTGAGTCTTGGTAGGTCATTGTTTGCTATATTTTCTCTCCTTTACTTCGATATCCTATACGACAACTCGTTTTCTATCGCAGCTATCATGGACATCCCTGCCAACAAACTCTTCGGGGGTATGAAGAAGGGGAAAAGAAGAGGGCCTCAAAAAGGGATTGCATTGAGTCCCAAATAGATGCCATTCTAGAGCCCGAGAAGCCATCAATTGTCGATCAACCTCTAGTAATAAATCTGGTTGAGGATGACTCGGGCAAGCTCTCCCCACCCTGCATGCCTGATGAGGCTATGTATTCAGAGCCCATCCCGACAGTTGCTGCTTCTTCAGGCAGCGACAACGCAGCTTAGAGCATTTTGACTCCGAAATTTGGCCTCCTCAAAAGCAAGGGTTGGTATTTGCTAAGGAGGTTGCTAGTTGGGCTGAACTGCCAGTTGCTCAACTTAGAGCCCGAGCGGCTACACACTTCATGGTGGTAAATTTTCAGACTTGTCTTCTTCAATCTATCTTGTACTTGGTTTTTTACATACTGGCACTTGTTTTTATCTCTTGGCAAGTGAATTCCACCATCCCCACCTTGGCTTATCATTCTGAGGTGAACTTGAAACAGGCCCTCGCAGTTGAGGAGTCTTCTCGTAAAGCTTATGCCGAGCTGAACTTAGCCCGTAATGAAAATAACCAGTTGAAGAATGACATGCAGGCTAAGGAGTTGCTCACATTGTTGATGTCGGAGAAGAAGGAGCTCGAGGAGTGTGAGGTAGCCCTGAAGAGGGAGCTTGAGGAGTGAGAGGCGGCACTCAAGAGAGAGGTGGAGAACCTCGAGGCTCATGTGAAAGAGCAAACCGAGATACTTCTTCAGGCAATGGAAGAGACCAAGGTTAAGGCTGCCAAGGAGTACAAGTCTTTGGCGGAGTATCAGAGAGAGATGGTCGAGGTGGGGACGGCAAGCTACCGCAAGGGTTTCAAACATAGCAGGGGATAACGCGATGTAAGTTCCTCCAACTCGACCTTAGTGTCATAAACACTTCAAGGATCACAAAGGAGATGGCCATCGAAGCTACCCAAGATCTGGACTCTGAAGCAGAAAGTGACGGCAACCTACTCGATGAGGATGAGGAGATCGATGCTGGTGAGAACCGCATGGAGATGGATCCTCCTACTGAAGCTCTAACAAGGATAAGGAGCCTCGAAGTGACTCGATGCCTCTTATATTGGACCCCTCCTTTTTCAATGAAATACAAATATTTTTTGCAATCTTTGTACAAGAATTTATTTTTTCTTCTAAGTGTAGACAACTCCCGAACTAGCAAACTAAACCAAATAGGAGTAGATTTTTCTCGAAGTGTCTGTTATCTTGAACTGTCGAGCTAACGAGCTAGACTCCGAGTAGAGATAACTTTGCATCATTGTATGCCGTGGTGGGCGAACACTACAGGGTATATACCCAACCTATCTGCACACGGGCTACTCATTTAGGTGTTGGTTATCCCTTAGTGCCTAGCCACCGGGCTTGACTTCAAATGGGGCTAACCCATTATTATGTGTTGAGGTGGGATAGATGTCATGGGGTTTGCATCGGAATTGTTCTATGCCTCAGGCACGACAATTGGCCTGCCAATGCCAAAGAGGCGACAAAGACATGTCTACCTATGCCAAAGAGGCAACTAGAACTTGTCTACTAATAAGCCTATGTTTGTACATATTTTTGGAATTACCATGGTATTGCACTAATTATGATGAAATTGTCTTGCAAGATGTTTTGGAGCTTAATTGTGTAAATTTAAGGAGGAGTTTGATTTAATTGATTCAGGTAATCGTAGAGGAAGGACCACGCAACAATGATGCTCCATGATGTAGCCATGAAGGAGAGAATCCATTGAAATTGGGTTTGATATGTATGCACAAAAATCGGGAAATTTCTTGTTTTGATATAGTTCCCGTATTTTGGGCATAACTTTCTGCTTACAACTCCATAATGTCCACTGCCCATCCACTGTCATGCCACCCCTCTGGGACCGTTTCTTGGAAAAGGTAGAATCACCCGAAGGCCACTCCAACGGGTGCAAAGGGGTCTGATGACCCTCAACCCCACTCTCTCCTATTAGCAATCACCCACCAAACATCTGGACACCTTCCGATCCCCCATTGGCCCAACGGTCTAGGCTGATGGTGGAAAACAGTGGTTCTAAAAAAATACCATTTCCCACCATCGGCCTTCCCTGAAGATTCCCCTATATTAGTAAATGGCGAATGGTGGCAACCAAAATGTGTTACATGATTTGAGCTATGATATCTAATTCCTCTCACTTTTTTCTGGAAAAAAAWTTCTTTTAGATGGTCGAGGAGTTGTAACTCTGTTTATTGGGTCACTTCATCTAAACATTGAATAAATGCTTGATTTTCTTTTCACAATAGGAAAGCTTATACAAAAATTTATAGGGTTCATATGTGCACCTTTAATTTACAACTTGTTTTATAAAAAAAAATAATTCACAAGCAACAAACAAAAGACTCAGTTGTGGGCATCTAAATCATGTACCGAGAGTTTTGCATAAAGGGCATTTAGATCACAGAGTTTCATATGGGAATTATGGTCAAAGAATTGAGAGATGGGTGGTGTATGTCACGTCTACGATTAGAGGGGATTGTAGTGGTATTTTGGTTTTATTATCGGTTTTTAGTGGTTGGATTTTCAACATTAAGGTGTTGGGAGGTTTAAAGTCATTTTCCCTTTAAAATATTTATATTAATTAATAAATAGCTAAATATAATTAATCCATATTTAGTAAATATTAAATAATGTTATTATTGAAAGTTAATAAATATAGTTAGTAAATTACCAAAAATTAATAAATACTATCATTAATTAACTCATCATAACTTTTTAAAGTATTTTGGGTAATTGTTGTTTTACTTATGTTAATTGACAATATTTTATAAAAACTGAAAACCCATTAATTAATTTCTATAAAAGTGATAACTATATTTAATAATTATCAAAAAATTAAAATTTGAGTTGTTATTGTTATTATATTTAATAATCGAATGCAGGGAATAAAATATTATAATGTTGGAAARTGAAATTATTAATTAATTTATATAGGAAAATAAAAGATAAATTATTGTAATTTTGTTAGTAAACTACTTCGTAAAAATAAATATTTAATAAAAATTTAAAATAATTTTCAATAAACCTCCATTATATTTTCAAAAATTTTCTTAAAACTACATTTTCATAAAATAACATTTTTGAAATTAAAAGATATAATATTATAGTTTTAGAAAAATGTTGAAAGTTTCTTTACAATGTATTAAATGATTATTGTAAATTATTAGAATATTTTTAACATTTTAGAAAAATTTATTGCATATGATAGACTTTGGATAGATATTGAAAATTTATATAATTTTCATTGTTAATTATTGAAAATTTTTAAAGATAAATGAGTATGGAAAAGGGAAAACTGTAATTTGTACCAATAATTATACAAATTAATAAGATAAATTAGTATAATAATGGAAAAGGAAATTATTAATTAGTTTATATTAGCAAAATATAAGATAAATTAGTGTAATTCTATAAGTAAACATTTAAAAAGAAAATAAATTATTTAGTAACAATTTTAAAAAAAATGAAAATTAAAGACAATTTAATATATTTTTAAAAATTTACCATGTGATTGGTACTCAAAATATCATTTTGATCATTTTTGTCATCAAAATAAATATTGGGTTGACGAGGAGCATGTGCCTTGCCTTGAGCCCGCTCGACACTGGGATAGGGTAGGGAAAATTCGGGGATTTCCCATCATTGATGAGGAGTGGGGGCCTTGCCCTGAATTCGCCCGACACTACGGATAAGGTAGAGAAATTTGAGGACTCCTCGTCCCTAATGAGGAGTGGGTCTTCCCTTGCCTTGAACTTGCCTGATACTAGGATGGGATAGGGATGGTGTAGAGTGTCTTGACTGGAGAGTGGAGACAGGGATGGGGTGCTCCACCCCATTGCTAATCCTACATAATTGTTAATTATTAGTGAAATTAATAAAAATGCTAGCTTTTGTAATTATTTCTATTTATTTAAAGTCAATCAAAGTTTCATTTAAAAATAATGAAAATAATAATTGTTATTAAAATTCCTACAAATGGTTAATAAGATTAAATTTATTAAAAAATATTTGTCCATATTAATTAAATTAACAATAACTTATTTTTGTAAATCAACATTAAACTCTGGCATTCACCCCAACTTTTAGTGATCTCACCATGCAACTTGTTATGGCTCAAATCTATGTAATCCAAATTAGGATAGACACCAAAATCTTCTGACATGTCTGCAGTTAGTTCGTTATTTTCAAGTCGAACTCTGGCCAAGTTTGTGCAATTTTTCAACACTTTTTGAATGAGACCTGTGAAATGGTTGTTAAATGCAGTAAATCTTTCAAGTGGCCCACCCTTGCACATATGTAGTGGCAAATAACCAAAGAAATTGTTGTTGGGAATCTGTAACTCARCCAACTTCCACAAATTTCCTATTGTTGAAGGGAACAAGCCATATAATGAATTGTTGGATAGGTTCAAGATAGTCAGTTTTGTTAAATTTCCTAAAGAGGAAGGCAAGGAACCAATTAAATGGTTATAAGACAAGTCTATTTCAGCAAGATCTTTCAAATTTCCAATCTCTTGAGGAATAGAGCCTGAAAGTTGATTTCCATATAGGAAGAGAGTGATTAAGCTGCTCAAATTACCTAGAGATGTAGGGATGGAACCACTGAGGTTATTTGTGTATAAGGGTAGATCAATGAATGATTTCAGCCTTCCTATATCTGAAGGGATGGAGCCATGTAGTAAATTATTGAATAGGAACAAAGACTCCAGTTTTGTTAAATTTCCCAAAGAGGAAGGAATTGAACCAAATAAATAGTTATTGGAAATTTGTATTTCAATAAGATCTTTCAAATTTCCTATCTCTTCTGGAATGAGACCTGAAAGTTGATTTTTGAAAAGGTAGAAAGTTATTAATCCACTCATGTTACCTAAAGATGGAGGGATGGAACCATTAAGATTATTCTTGAACAAGACTAACTTGGTTAGTGATTTCAACTTTCCTATTTCTGAAGGAATGGAGCCATATAACGAATTATTGAATAGGTGCAAAATGGTCAGTTTTGTCAAATTTTCCACAGAGCGAGGGATGGAACCAGTCAGGTTATTAGAGGACAACTTTAATCGAGTAAGATACCTTAGCTGTCCTATATCTGAAGGTATTGCTCCGCTGAGACTATTTTGGTCAAGATACAACATTTGGAGACTTTCTAACAGACTGATTTCAAACGGAACATTTCCAGAGAACTGATTGATAGAAAGGCCAAGGTAGCTGAGTTTGGAGAGTTTACCAATCTGAGACGGAATGATGCCAGAGAGAGTGTTGTTGGTATGATCAAAATGAAGATGGTCTGAGAAGGATGAAAAGTTGAAGTTATGAAGCGTACCTTGCAAACCCATACTTGATAGGGTTATATTCTTAAGTCTTCCTGCTTCATCGCAAGTAATTCCAACCCAATTGCACAGGTCGTACTGAGAAGAAGAGTTGGTGGAATTATTACCATTAGGAACTAATGGTCTCCAGGAAGAGAGGAGAGCGTTAGTGTGACCAGGAAGACTGGCTTTCCATTTGAGGAGGGCTTTGGCTTCTGGTATGGCAAAGGCTTCAGAAAAGCAACACTTTGGTAAGCGTGCACCCAACAGGATCACTAATACCACTACCAGAGTGAGGGACTTTGCAATTATCTGAGATCCTAGGAAGGACGACCGAGTCATGTTGTGGAGTGCAATTATGGGTTTAGGTTGTGTGAGGAGGTTGATGATAGATGGGGATTTTATATTAATGTGGGAACATGGGAACAAAATCTCCAATAAGAAAGACTTTGGTTTTTTTATTAAAAAGAAATTAAGACTTGGTCTTCAGCTATGGGCAAATCACTATCAATTAAATGGCTTAAGGTATTACTTTCAGCTAGGTCTGTTTGGGAGGGCTTCTGCATTTGGATTGAGCTGGTACAAAGAAGACACTCAGGTTGAGCATGTGTTGCATTATAAATTATTTATAATTCTCTGTGTGTATGTCTTCAATAAATCATCATGTAGTTGGGGAAGCTATTTAAAAGAGACTGAACATATCAGTGTTTCTTATGGATACAGCGTGCAAGGCACATAGACCTTCATGGTCGACTTGGACTTGGCTTTAATGAAAATTCTGATGGGCTTGGGCCACTCGGCATGAAGCCCAAACTCAAATTAGTAGTGTAAGGCTTAAATCCCGACTCGTGATCAGGTCTAATGGCGTGTTCATAATATATGCAGAACATTGGCATTTTCACTCGTATTCGTATGATGAGCATCAAATTGGGATGCAAAACACAGCCGATTTGATTTTCTCCTAACTTATGTTAGAATGCAAGTGAGGAGACCATCTTAGGAAACCGGAAGCTGCTACACTTCATTGTTCATACCTCCCAAATGGGTAATAAAGCATTTAATACAACCGTATCATCGAAGGGGATTCCAATATAATCTAGTCAAGTCCTGTCTGGTGAAGGTTCAAATCACATTACATTTATATTATTTTTATATAAGCGGTAAAGTCATATAACTATGTTTGGGTTTCGGGTTTGACCAAACCACTTAGGTTCAAACCGGTCAAACCAACTAAACTATTTATTTGGATTGTCTTCGAGCTAATCACATCAAGGGTGATTGAACCATTTAGGTCTGGATCAGTCTGGTCTGGTTCGATCGAACTGGTTCAAACAACGGCAGATTGACTTAGACCGGCCCATATCAGGTTTGTGAATGGATTTGGAACCGGACCGACTGGCCCAAAGTGGGCCAAGAGAAATAAATCGGAATGGTACAGATACGGATCAGGTTGTGTGGGTACTAGCCAGACCGGAAAAAAAGTAGAGCGGATTTCGGGTTGGGCCTGACGGAACCATCCCACCCGGACCCGTTTTAGATTCAGGTCAACCCAGATCAGCCTACCCTGGGTCAGGTCGGGTTTGGACAAGGCTGACCGACCCTAATGAACTGAACCGAGGTGATCGGGTCTGTTCATACTTAGACCAAGTTGAGATGGTCCAAAGTTGGGTCAAGTTGATTTGGATTTATGTCTATTTGGGTGAAGTGTTTTGCTTTGAGACAAAACTAATTTTAGTCAATAATTAATTGAAAATTGATGCACTAATTATAAATTATTTCATTCAAATGAAGAAATTTAAAAAAAAAAATGGCTAAGGAATTAATACTTATATCTTTAGTGGTTAACCCAATGGTTATCCGCAACCCAACCCCATTCAAATTGACTCAATGGGTGATCAACCCATTTCCAATCCACCAAGTAAATGGGCAGGTTGGGTGGGTTAGATAYTGGGTGGGTTGGGTGGATTCAGTGGGTTGGATGAAAAATTGCCACCCCTAGTTGTGTGTTACGACCGGTCGTTCGACCAAGATGAGAGCATATACACCAAAGATTCAAGCCGAGGTGAGAAGAACTTGTGTAATTTATTCACAAAAATTCCACTAGACTTATTTACATAATCAATCATACATTTGGATGTCACTGGAGCTCCCAATGCGAGGCATAGGTCTTCTATTCATGAAAAAAATGTAGGAGGGCCGAGGCTCTGCCCTACAATGACGGGTAGGGATATCTTACCCTCGAGAGATTGGTGACTGTCCCGAAGAATCCGACTAGTGGCATCTCAGCAGGTTGGAGCTGATTTGGAGTCAATTGCATCTTCACATAGGCATCATAGAGAAGGATGTCGATTGAGAAGTTACTGTCTACAAGGACTCTCTTTACCACGTAGTTGGCGATGGTGACAGATATTACCAACACATCGTCATGGGGCAGTGAGACCACATGTATGTTGTCGTCAGGGAAGGTGATGGCATCTTCCGGCCTCGGTTTTTTTAGTTACCTGGTTTCCCCTCTTGGGGTTCCTCTTCATCTTGGCCAGCCACTTCATATAATCCTCCTTCCCTATTTCATGAGTATGTGCATTCGGGTGGAGTTCAGTGGAGTGTATTTGTTGAAAGAAGGGATGGCAGCTTCTTATCATTGTCTTTGTTGTTGATGTGGTGGTTATGGTTGTGGCCATCTCTTTCCTTCCTCTTCTTCTTCGAGGCCCCTCGGCTAGGGTTGGCCTCAGGTTCATGGAGGTGCTCACTGGCCTCAACTTCTTCAGTGACAGTGTACTTTTACACCTTTTTCAAAACTTCCACCTTGTTCTTGGGCGACATCTTGGAGATGGACCATTTGAGGGGTCTAGGCCAAAGGCCGTTGATTGTAGCATGCATGGAGACTGATGGGTCGAGGTCTCGGACTTCGAGCTCTTCCTTCTTAAAGTAGTTGATGTAAGCTCGAAGGCTCTCTCTATGCTTTTGCTTGATCGACATGAGTGAGATGACAGTCTTCTGATACCGTCAACTACTAATGAAGTGGGAGAGGAAGGGGTCGGAAAATTGCTCCCACAAGTTGACGGATCGAGAGAGGAGAGTGGAGAACCATTTGCATGCAACTCCCATCAAAGTGAATTAGAAAGCTCGGCACGTCAGGGCATCAGAGTACCCGTAGAGAAGAATGAGTGCTTGGAAGCTCTCCAAGGTGGGAGCCTTGAAATGGGGCGGGAGCGGCTTCAAGGTGATGGAGTTAGTAAAGGCATCCATTCGGGTGGACGAGGGTTCTTATTGGTGGAGGCCTCACCTCGGCCCTCCTTCACCTATCGGATCTCGTCTTGAATGGCGCCGATCTGCGCCTGTAGGTCACCAAGACATCGGTCGATGGGAGCCTAGGCCTTGTCCTGGTTTTCTCTAACACGGAAGGGGTCGGCCCAGTTCCCTCAGTTCTTGGACGTCGATACATCTTGGGCTTTTTGGTGTCTACGATCATTGAGAAGATCGCGGAGGTCCGATATTGGTGAGGGAGAGGGTAGCATCGATCGCCAGCCCTCGGAGGAGGACTGTAGTGACCAGAGCACCCGCCTTCATCCTGGTTGCTCTCTACACAGTGGTAGCGATTGCGATCCCGACGATTATCACGGGACCCAGCTGAATCATCTCCCCTTGGCTAGGGAGGCGGGATGTCTTCGACGGGGGCTTGCTTGTCCATTGGCTACTACTATTGGATGTTGAGGGGTCGCCTTTCTAAGGCCGATTGGTTATTGGACCAGTGGCACATGGGTGGAGCGCCTACTATGTTGCCCTTGGCTCCCAATGGGGCAGCCGCACACCATGCCGGCAGCCACCTGCTAGGTGCCCCACCTCGTGCAATCTCTAAGTTATGTTGTTCAATCTATCGATGACTAGTTTAAATTGGTCAATGATGACCAAGTTTTGAGCATTTTGGTTAGTATCTTGTTTGTTAACCATCTCGGAAGCTTAGTTGTTTGAGTTAGATGCTTTCTTAGGGGAAGTCTTAAGAACAGTTTGCACAGACAACGTCAATTATTGCTGCCTAGGATGGGGTCGAGGGCAACAAGGTAACTTCACTTCTGGTCGAGGCCGATGTGTCCAACCAATGAGTAAGAAGAGAGTACATGTCAGAGGCCACAGGTGTTATCCCAGGGGTGGAGATTCTGATGGTCAAGTTAATTAATGTCTTTTATTAATTCATTAATAAACAAGCTAAACATCATTTTAAGGCATCCAATTCATATAAATTTTGAATGCAAGTGTCCTTAAAAACACGGTACATCTGTCAGTTGGATCTTTGGATGTGGGCACTTGCATGCATTCTAGCGTGGTTTTAGGATGGATTTCATGCATAAACTTCGTTTGTTTTTTTCTGTACACAATTTGCCTCCATCGCTCAAGTCATATTCCGCATTCTTTGAAGATATATATATTTATAAAACTGCAAATTATGAATGTTTGAAGTAAACGTAGAGTTCCATTCGCATCACTGGCCCCACTATACAAAATATGAGATGTGAAATATGAGAATGAAACTGGTGGAAAATTCTCTGGTACTAGGTCGAGAGCGACTGTAACTTGTGGAAAAATTAATTCCAAGTCTTCAATTGTGTTGTCTTTCTTCAATTTTGAGAGTAAGTGAATAGATGTAACGTATGAAGAAAGGAAAACAGGTTACACACCTTCAATTGTGGAATTTTAAACCTCCATTGAAAAATCCTAGTTGAAGAAAAAGTATTTAACTTTATGTTTGATCATAAAATTCTAAGTCGAGAGTGACCAAAGTAAATATTGCGTGACTTGTTGGAAAAATCAGGCTTTGGTACTATTTTGATGCTAGGGATAAAAACAGTTCTAAGTCTTCAACTATGGGGTCTACACGTAGCAATCGTTCAAATAATTCCACCTTTCGATTGATTTTAATTTTGTGGGCCTCGGTCACATATAATTTTTAGCATCTTCACCACATTATGCTGTATATTCGGAGCCCAGGTTTTTTATTCACTTTTTCTACCCACTCTACTTTCTATTCACTTTTTCTACCCACTCTCTACCTGCAGTGAATTGAAATCACATACCTCACAATTTATAATAGAGATGTGTGACTCCAATTCAGGGTGGTAAAGGACAGATAAGAAAAGTGAGTAGGAAATCCCGAATGATATATTCGATCCAGATGTGATAGAACAGTTGATAAAGCTAGATAAAAACAGCATGGCCGAATGCAATTTGCCACCTAATCATTTATTCAGATTGATTATAAAATTCTAAATTGAGAGGGAACAAAATAAACGTGACGTGCGGAAAAATCAGGTTGTCATATATATTCGTTGCTATAAGACTGGATA